ATTATTATTATTATTATTATTATTATTATTATTATTATTATTATTATTATTATTATTATTATTATTATTATTATTATTATTATTATTATTATTATTATTATTATTATTATTATTATTATTATTATTATTATTATTATTATTATTATTATTATTATTATTATTATTATTATTATTATTATTATTATTATTATTATTATTTTATTATTATTATTATTATTATTATTATTATTATTATTATTATTATTATTATTATTATTATTATTATTATTATTATTATTATTATTATTATTATTATTATTATTATTAATTATTATTATTATTACTATTATCAATTATTATTATTATTGTTATTGTTATTATTGCTGTTATGACTGTTTTTGATATACTTGTTCAGCATCATTATTTTCATGAAGTTATCTACGGGTAATCATTGTCTTTACTACAATCACGCAAAGAAAGCGATATTTTAAAACAAAAATGATTGTTTGTCTTGTTTTTGAAATGAAAAGAATAATGAAAATCTTTCCCTTCCTAATTAGGAAAACCTTTTTTAATCAAGCAGATGTTCTTACATTAAAATGTCCGCTATGTGCAAAACCATTTCATTTATCGTATGAAATTTAGCCTTTTTAACAGGTTCCAAAACTATTTTTTGTTTTCCTATTGTTTGACATTGTTTCGAATGTTGAAAGGATTGCCATTCCCATCTGCTTGACATTAAAAAACTGCAAAAGCGATCCAACAGAAACATAATTTAACTTTCCAAACCGCTTTTCCAACATTTGAATGAAATGGAGTTCAGCAATTTCTGATTATCTTTTGACATTCTACAGTCAAAGCTATCTAATATAATGTTCTGAAAAGTTTAGCCGAAAAAGGTTAACTAATCAACCTATCATTATTGCTATTACTAAAAGGAAATTCTTTGATTCATTTTCAAGTACTGACAAATCTGAATAAATAAATCTTTTTTAGTTAAATTAAGGAAAGCTTTAAAATTTCAACTTATTATTGCCTCCAACTATTATGTTCAAAATTACCTGCAAGTCACCAAGCAGTTGGTCCGTTTGTAAAAGATTACATTGTCAACTTGATTAAAGTAATTTCGCTGAACAATACACTTTTTTTAAAATTTTTTGCCGTACTATTTTGAAATTAATGTATAATTGGGACTCAGAGAGGCGAGTAACTGGGGATTCAATCCCATTTTCATTGCGCTCTTGTAGAAGGTAGAAAAAAAGAAAAACTATTTGGAGGATAATTCAGAATTTCAGTACATGCTATTTATATATTCTGACTTTATGAATTTCATTTAAATGGAATTCTCGTAGAAAAAGTATTCATTCCTCAGGAATTCTTGTATTAATTCATATTGCAAACAAGCAACAATTGTTCATCGCATCAGTTCACATGTGATCGCCGCTGTTAAGGACATTTTTGAAAACATAAACCATCGTTTCTCATTGTTTTCCAACCTTTTCATTCTTTTTCATTTTTTCTCTCATATAATTTCAACGTCTTGAATAAACGAACACAATGAGATTTGCGTCAAATGGGTGTTATTCGTCGCCGCCTTATTATGCGCCACTTCCATGTTACAATGTTATTTTTTTTGTAAGGCATTTGGGTAATCAAAGGAGCAAAGAAAAATAGCGCCTTTTGCCATAGTGCAAGTTCGTTGTCAAATACAGTGAGCAAGATTAATAAATGACCTTTCTATTTCTCCTCTCCTTGTATCAGCAAAATCCACGAAGAGGAAATTGCAAAATAGATGGAATGGGATAGGTGCTATGGAATACACTGAATCTATGATCATCAGTTGTTCACATGAATTCATGATGCAATGCACTTGCTGATAATTGATAACTGACTCACTGGAACCAAACAGAAGTGGGAGTGTGCTCCGTCTCTACCTTTATTTTATAAATAACTAATGGTACGGAGTTTGCTTCTTTCTTCCTGCAAATCCCGCGGTATCATGTTGATCTCACCCATAACATGCTATCTTTTTGGACTAATTCCTCTTAAATTACTTTTAGTGAAATCTCTCAAATTTTTTTCTAAGGTCACATAGTTTTTAAATGATCTTTCTTGAACAAATCTTGCGCGAACATTGGCTTTCTAGTTTATTTTGAGGTTACCTATCCAGAAATCCCATACATCCATAATTCCGTTCGCTACTTTCTATAGTTTTCATTTCCTGATTGTGAGATGATTTTCAGGATTCGTTCTTCTGTAATATGGTGGTAATAGATACAAAAGAGTGTCATACTATGCCTTCCACATCGTTGCAGATAAACCCGACTTCAGAATATGATCAAATTACTGAACTGGTTCCTCGGTTGCATATTTGCGGTGCCAACTCATTGTCTTTGGATAACATGAACAAATATAATATCTCATTGATTATAAATGCTACCACTGAAGTCTGTTTTGAAAAAATGATCTAATTTTTTTTTTTATTTCTCTAAGAATTTTTAGAAAGAAATTGAAAAAAAATACCAAATTTCCAAATTTTCTTTCGAAGTTTTAAATTCTTTCAAAAAATGCTAAACAGCCGGTTTGTATTTTTCCTGACAAATTTCAGAAATTTTTGATTAATGACACATCTATGCAGCATTTACTGCAGATACCTAGTGTGCGATCCCTTGGTTCAATACCACGAATAAAGTTATGGTTGGATGATACACCATCAACTAACATTTATCAGTATTTCGATCTTATCAGCGATCAGGTGAACTTTTTTGACGAGAAAATTTTAGAGTGGACTGTTATTGATAGCTTTAAATTAACGACCAAATATCAATCAATTTAAAATTGTTTTCAAAACTTAAATTACAGATTGAAACAGTGATAGCAACTGGTGGTAATGTATTGGTGCACTGTGTAGCTGGGATATCACGATCAGCTACTATTTGCCTTGCATTTCTCACTAAATTCCGCTGCAGATCACTCAGGCAGGCTTATCACCTGATGGCTCGAAAACGGTCACTTGTCAGGCCTAATATCGGATTTTGGCATCAGCTGATCATTTACGAACATGTATGTTGCAAAATTGTCAAAATTCTGGAAATTAACTGTTCCTGAATTTACTTCATGCAACTTTTACTTGTTTTTATATAAATAAATATTTTTAAGGAGAAATTTCTGAAAAAAGCTGATGAATAAAAGCTTTTTGTTCACTTCTACATTTATAGGAAATAAAGAATGGTGTCGCATCGGTAAAATTTGTTCAGAGCAGAGAAGATCCAAAAAGTATCCTGCCCGATGTCTATCTGTCAGTGAGTGGCAAGCATTAAAAATTGCATTTTGTCTGAATCAGCCAAATTTTTCAAAAATTTCAAAAATTCTAAATGTATTTAGTTTCCTATTTTTTTTCATTACAGACATCTGTTGACCTACGCGGAGGGAGGCGGTTTTCCAAAGATAAACCGAAATTTCAACCAATATTGGAAACTGTACCGGAAAGCACTGAAGTCTATCTTCTTTCCTCATAACGTTATGGACTTGGAACATAAATTTCCGCATATAGCAAACTTGCATCGTCGAGGAAAAATTCTTGAAAAATCAGAATTTGCAGTCAGTTTTTGTCGTCATATATCATTTATACAAACCACCCGAAAACTCGCCTATTCTCAGTCCGAATCCTAGTTGAAATAACATCCTACAGTAACAACTGCATCCCACACAGTTCCTTTGTTTGTTTTTTTTTAATTCCACAAATTTGTG